CAACACATCAACACTATCCTTACTCAACCTTGGGTTCCCTATCACCAGCTTTCCTGTCCCCTTCTGTCTTCTAGCCCTTGTCCCTGGACTGCTGTGCCTCATTAGTCCTATTTGGTTTTATGGGGCTGTCCACTCCCCAGCTGAACGGTGAACCTCGGAAGTGACTTTACCACTGAGCTAAAAGGGTGTCTGGGGAACATACTCTCAGGGTTTCTCCAGTCTCCTTTAGGCCAGTAAATCTGGTCTTTTTTTGTGAGTTAGAATTTTGTTCTACATCCTAAAAGAAGCACTTTTTAATAAATGCTGCTGAAATAACCTGACAGCCATACGAAAAAAGAAAAAACTGAGTATATTTCTCACAATTAATACCAGAATAAATTCTAAATGGATCAGAGAGTTAAGTGTAAAAATTGAAACCCATGCAAGTACTGAATCAACTCACAAGCATCGGGCTATACAAGTACTAGAAAAAAATATGGCTGAATTCCTTTATAACATTAGAATAGCAAAAAACTTCCTAATTATGATTCAAAAACCCATCAGTATATTTATTTGACTGAATAAAAATAAATATCTGGATGGCAAAAAGTACCATATAAGCAAAGTAAACACATTTACAAAGACCAGTAAAACAACGTTATTTCTTATTTTCATTTACATTTGAGAGATCAGTGAGTTAAAACAAAAGGTTTAGTATAAAAATCAGTGTGTTTCCATATGCTAGCAATGAACAATCTGAAAGGAAGTTAAGAAAACGATTCTATTTGCAATACAATCTAAAGGAATAAAATAAAATCAGTTGCCATTGAGTTGATTCCCATGTGTGTCAGAGTAGAACTGTGCTGCATAGCGTTTTTCAGAAGTAGATCACCAGGCCTTTCTTAAGACTTGTACACTGAAAGTACAAAACATTGCTGAAAGAAAATTCAAGAAGACCTAAACAAATGGAAAGGCATCCTATGTTCATCACTGGAAGACTCAATATCGTTAAAATGTCAATACTACCCGATGCAACCTACAGATTCAACGCAAAGCCTATGAAAATTTCAAAAATCTTTTTTGCAGAAGTGGAAAAGCCAATTCTCAAAATCATACAGACTTGCAAGGGGCTGCAAATAACCAAAATAATCTTAAAAAAAAAAAAAAAGAAAAGTTGGGGGACTCACACTTCCCAATTTTAAAACTTACTATGAAGCTTCAGTATTCAAACAATGTGGTGCTGGCATGAGGACAGACATACAGACTAACGAAATACAATTCACAGTCCAGAAATAAATTCACATATGACCAAATGATTTTCAACAACCCATTGCCATCAAGTCAATTCTGACTCATAGCAACCCTGCAGGACAGAGTAGAACTGCCCAATAGGGTTTCCAAGGCTGTGATCTTTATTGGAGCAGACTGCCACATCGTTCTCCCACGGAGTAGCTGGTGGGTTCAAACTGCTGGCCTTTCAATTAGCAGCCGAGCACTTAACCACTGTACCACCAGGGTTCCTTGATTTTCAACAAGGATGCCAAATTCATTCATTATAGTCTCTTCAATAATTGGTGCTGGGACAACTCGATTTCCAAATGCATTAGAATAAAGTTGCACCCCTACCTCACATCATATATAAAAATTAAATCACAACAGACCAAAGACCTAGATTTAAGAGTTAAACCATAAAACTCTTAGAACAAAAACTTATGGGTAGATCTTCAGGAACTTGTATTCCCGCATCATCAAAATTAAAAGCTTTTGTGCATTAAAGGACATCAAGAAAGTTAAAAGACAAACTACAAAACAGGAGAAAATACTTGGAAATCATATATATAATAAACATTTAATATCTAGACTATATAAAGAACTACAACTCAACAACGACAAAAAACCCAATTAAAAAACAGGCAAAAACTTGAATAGACATTTCTTCAAAGAAGATACACAAGTGACCAAGAAGCGCATGTAAAGATGTTCAACATCATTAGTCATTAGGGAAATGCAAATCAAAACCACAGTGAGGTTAACACTTCAAATACACTAGAATGGCTATCATCCAAAAAAAAAGGAAAATAACAAGTGCTGATGAGGATGTGGAGAAACTGGAACCCTTGTACATCTCTGGTGGTAATGCAAAATAGTGTAGCCACTGTGGATAACAGTATGGAGGTTCTTCAAAAAGTTAAACATAGAATTGCCAAAGGACGCAGCAATTCTATTCATAGGTATACACTCAAAGGAACTGCAAACAAGGATTTAAACAGATACTTGTACACCAATGTTCATTACAGCATTATTCACAACAGCAAATAGACAAAATGGGCACACCAGCCCAGGGGCAAGGACTAGAAGGAAGGAGGGGACAGGAAAGGTGGTAACAGGGAAGCCAAGGTCGAGAAAGGGAGAGTGTTGACATGTCATGGGGTTGGTAACCAATGTCGCAAAACAATATGTGTACAAATTATCTACTGAGAAGCTAGTCTGTTCTGTAAACTTTCATCTAAAAGTACAATAAAAAAAAAAAGATGAATAGATAAACAAAATGTGGTATATCCATACAATGAAATCTTATTCGGCCAAAAAGAGAAATTGCGTTCTGATCCATGCTGCAACATATATGAACCTTGAAAATACCATGCTAAGTGAAATAAGTCAGACACAAAAGGACAAATATTTTATAATCCCACTTATATGAAATATCTACAATAGGCAAATACACAAACAGGAGATTAATGGCTACCCGGGCGGAGGGGGCAAGGGGAAATGGGGAGTTAAAGAGAAGAGATTCACCAAAAACACAATAAAATATTATTTAAAAAAAAAAAAGAGAAAAAAGTGATGAAAAAAGAACACCCAATCAGAAGCATTTGAGATTTTAAAAAGTCTACCAGTTAGATTCAATAGAGGCAGCAAACAGCAGACTAGAAACTGACAAACATAAGCTGGTGAAATGGAAGATGGAAATTAGAAGAAAAAATATGACAAGTAGTTCCCGGAGATCTAATATTTATACAATCAGAGTTTATAAATAAAGGAGTACAGGATATCAGAGAACACTAATAGACTAAATGTTCTCTGAGCTAAAGAAACATAATTAAATCTTCAGATCATGAGTTATCACACCCAGACACATTTCTGGATTTGAAAGATCAAAAAAAAATTTCAAAGATCAGTATAAAAAAGGAAGAAATAAACAGTATCAGATTTTTCTCTCTACAAAATCAAACATTAAGAATAAAACCTACATGCCCAGCTACCATTACCAAACATTTTGATCAATGATTCTATAAAAGAATCCTGATCAAAAGGGGAAAATGTAAAAGAGAATTTCAAATTCTCAGGGAATCCAGACTTTCTGGAGCCATGGAGGCTGGTTGAACCCACCAAAACTATTGCCTGAGACAATCTTTGAACTTCAAACCAAAAATATACCCTGAAGTCTTCTTAAAACCAAACAATAGTTTAGCTTAACTAGTAAACAATATCTGCCTTGACCAGTATGCTCTTTTAAGATCTATATGGGCTCAAACTGACAACAACTTGAAAGATTAGATAGGAACCTTAGGGGACAGTGAGTTTATATTAATGGGGGAGGAACAACTTAAAAAATGAGGGTGAGAATTGTTGCACAACTCGAAGGATGTATTCAGTGTCACTGAATTGTACATGTAGAAACTACTGAACTGGTGTATGTTTTGCTGTGTATACACTCAACAACAACAAAAAAGTAAAATAAATTATAAAAAAAAGAAGAAAAGCTACAGATTTCAAAAGGAAAGAAAGCAAAATCCAGTATTTATATACTAATCCAAATGACCAGTCAAAATATCAATTGTAAGGACAGCAGAATTATATTCTCAAATAAGCTCAGAAGATATACCACCTACAATACATCCATTCCTCACTTATCAACACAGTCAGGTCCCAAAGACCAGATCGTTATGTAAAAATCGGTATTATGTGAAAATGGAGGATGCCTGTATCATTATATAACTGTCAAACTACTCGTTAGGTAACTGCCAAATCACATCATTACATAACTGTCAAACCACTGAGAATCATCTCCCAGCCAAGATGACATATAACCTTGACCATCACAGCCAGCGTTACTTTCACCTCACACCTCGGCATTCGTTACTGCCAGACATACGTCCTTAATGCGTAAAGTGGTCAGATAGTAGATTTTTTACTATTGTCGTAAATGCAAAATGCTGGATAACAAGATAGTCAGTAAGTGAGGACTGGGTGTATATAAATATTTCAAGAAATAGTATTCTAGTCACAACACCTAAATCAGAAGCATGGAGAGGAATTGGTGTAGTAGAGACTATGACGAACCGTAACAGTAAAATGCTAACAGTTAAATCTATATAACAATTCTTGATGTGCTTAATGCAAATGTTAAGTGATTCCTGAAAGAGAAGGTTCTTACAATTAAAAAGCAATAATAATCTATAGCTAAAATTCCATTGCAATTTCTCCTTTTTTTTTCATTCTACAGGCTAGTAGTGGCAAAGGAAACACCTGTAGGCTGCACCCAAAAGTACAGAGAATAAAGATATACCAGTGCTATACAAATACACTTACAGGGAGTTTGGTGAAGGCTGGATTAGTGACATGCTTCCCAAAGGCGTCCTCCTGGAACTGGAGAAGCTGCACCACCAGCCCAGCCAGGGTTTTATTGGTAGGAGCATCAGCGTGAACATACTGCAAGATAAAGACAGGGACTCAAAAACTGGTACAAAGGTACGGAAAAGAACAACTGGCTTACCTCCCAGTATCTAAGCTCTGGCACTATGGCAGATTTATAGATGAGACATGGACTGCAGTAAAGGAGCTTACGAAAACAAATACATGTGAAAAGTTATACAGCATGATGAGGGTAATGTCAGAAGGCCAAACCAGCAGTAGAGACAGCAACCTGGTTTCACAGTAAAGATAGTAGGTAACATGAAGAGAAAGCATAAACTGATGAGCCGAATCAAATGTAAAAGCTTAATCTGGTGCTAAATGTTCAATATTACCTTGAGAGTCCAACTCATTTCCTTGTTTTTTAAACCTCCAATTCTGAGCAGGAAAAATACCTATACTACCTTCAACTTCACAAAAGATAATGAACAATTAAGTTTTTCTTCCTGAAGCAAACCTCTAAGTATCATCCAACATGTCCAGGTTAACTGGTCTGTTTCTACTACAATAAATAATTAAGTCATTTGTATACAGCAAAATTAGATCAACTGCACAGTCTTCCATTAGTATACATTAAGTTGAAAGGCTCCCAATTTGTGCTACTGTTAAAGACACAGCTTAAAAGAGCAATTATTCTTAAAGCTTAGTATCCTCCCAAATTTTTATTTATTCGGGTGTATTAGTTTTCCAATGTAAATGAAACAGCCAGCATGCAGCTAATCTTGCTGAAGACCGCCTCGCTGTGTGTCTTTTAGTAGATTCCAACTCAGCAGCCCTATAAAACAGAGTAGGACTGCCCTGCAGGGTTTCCTAGGCTGTAATCCATGGGGTCGCAATGAGTCGGAATTGACTCTACAGCACACAACAAAAAGAATCTTTATGGGAGCAGATCACCAGGTCTTTTTTACCGAGGAGCTGTTGGTGGGTTCGAACCACCAACCTTTGAGTTAGCAGCTGAGCTGCTTAACAATTGTGCCACCAAGGTTCCTTGAAGACTGCTTTATTTTACACAAAATCTTCTAGATGAGAGGTCGGCAGTATCCAGCCTGCTGCCCATTTTTATATATAGCCCACAAGCAAAGAATAGCTTTTACATTTTTTAAAGGGTTGAAAAAAATTAAAATAATAATGTATTATGACATGTGAAAATTATGATATTCAAACTTCATTGCCTATAAATAAGGTTTTATTGGAACACAGCCACGTTTATTCATTTATGTATTATCTACAGCTGCTTTCATGCAACAGCAGAGCTGAGTAGCTGCAAAGTCTGCAAAGCCTAAAATACTTACTATCTGGCCCTTCAAAGAAAAACTGCCTCCTTGTTCTAGATGACTTCTTTTTATCCTTATAAAAAGCCTTCTTTTCTATTACTTTAAGGATGTTCTATAAAAATACATTTCCATATGGCCACAAAGTGACACGTGTGCCACACATACATCAAAAACTGGAAGCAAGTTTCATACAATTAAGCATATAGGATGTTAATTCTGCCAGTCTAAAACAATGGTTCTCAAATTTTAGCACTCATCAGATCATCCGATTGTTGGCCCCATCCCCAGAGTTTCTGAACCACTGGACTTTTTTTTAAATCCATTTTGGATTATTACTAGATATATCTCAGTTAGAGAACAACTTTCTAAATTTAAGTTGAAAACCAACTGAACAATTTTTAAAATTTTAAAAAACTACTTACGATTTCTTTTTAAATCCATTCTTTTAATCCATTTCAGATTATTACTAGATACATCCCAGAGAATAATTTTCTATGATAATTTAAGTTAAAAACCAACTGAAAAAATTTTTTAAAGTTAAAAACTGTTCACAATTCCCTTTCCCATAAAATATTGTCAATTCCCAACCAAAACTAGCAAATCTATTTTACTGTACACTTTCAAGTGAAATTTCAACATCACTTTTCCCCAATTTACTCAACATATTTAATCTTTAATAATAATCAATGAGTAAGAAAGTAATTAGTAATACTCAACACAGTATAACAATCTTTAATAAAGAACAAACTCAAGTTTATCGTACAGAACTAGCAAAATAAATTGTACATATCCACAAGATAACTTTGTATCTTTAATAAGTAAAAGCTTCCCAAAGGGGTCATATAATGTTGGTTTTTTGCATATGGTAACGCAACACAAAAAATAACTGTAATTTTTGATGTTTCAGATAATCATAGGTAACTAAACAATGCCAAACGCTGAAATCGAAAAAGGTAACATTCTAGGGGAAGGCTATTCAGCTGGACCCAAACCAAACCTTCAGCCAAAAACTAATTTTTAATAACTGTGGGAAAAATGGTCTCATATAAGTTCTCAACTTTACTATTATATGTGTTTTCATTCAATACATGCTGTGACTCAGAATAAGCTAGGTTTCACTCTATATATTCAAAAGAAAGACAGCTGGGTTCAAAGCCAATCAAAATTACTGCCATAGCTATTTTAAAGTCCAGTTTTTAAACTATAAAAATTTCACTCTGGTTAGATACCTTTTTCAAATTACCCAAAAAATTACCAAACATGAAAATGCACCTAAGAGGTGGCATATTTAGTTCATAAATAAAATTTGACATTAACATATTAGTGTAAACTATGCCTCACACCCACTCAAAAGGCAGGCAATATATAAGGTTTTTAAATCAACTTAAAAATTTCAAAATATAACATTGAAATTTAAATCTAATTTAACTAATAAAAATGAAGCTGACTGACCGTAAGTTATGTGGCATAAATATCACTATTACCTCAGATTTATATAACCCCATCTTCAAGGATTATCTCGTTTGATTCTAACGACAGTTCTATGGAAGTCAGTCTTAAACTGGCAACTCACAAGTGAAAAAAATCAAAACATATAGAAATCAAGTGATCTGCTGAAGGACACCAGTCAGTACTGCAGAGAAGTACTGAATTCTCTCTTTCAACCTAACGTAATGCTCATTTCACTACCCCGTACTGATATGAGCTGACTTCAACTGCTTCCAAAAATATCACCTAATGCATAAAAAGTCCTTAACAGCTTTCAAAATGCTGAATTCTAATCAAGAAAAAAATAAGCATTTTATACAGACTCTTTCAGTCATAAGCACATCTTTTGATAAAAAAAAGTCCAACACCACTGTTTTACTTTAAAAAAATTTACTTCAAGTATTTTGATTAAGAAAGTTAGCTAGTTAGGTGGAGGCTTTATCAATAAGTCTGTTTTATATTATGTATGGCATTAATGAAGTATCAAAAGTTTAACCTGCCCCTGAACAATCCTACTGTAGCAAATGTCTCATAAAACAAAAAACATTCAACTCTTATTAACTGTTAATTCGTGTAAATCACATTGAAACGCCTTCCCCTAAGCAATCTAGTCCAATTTTACTTAACATCCTTAAATCTAAACCATCCTGTAATGTTAAAGCTTATTTCAGAAATAAGTCCAACTTCAGGAAAACACTTGCCTGGGAGCTTAATGGCCTACAGATACACTTCACCTCCAAGGTACTGGAGCTGAATCAATTTGAGACCAGCAGTGCTAAGGCTTCATCATCTGAAAATCCCTCAGGAACTACTTACAATTCCCTTTCCTATAAAATAGTGTCAGTCTTATCTACAAAAAGATGTACAGCTTTCATCTTGATCAATGTTAGGACGAAGGACATGTACCCAATAATACATGGAAGGCAGCTCAGGTGGGAGATGAACAAGTCTCTATACAGCTACTAGACTGAAAATGCACCCTCAGGCAAGCGGTGAACCTCCCATGTTTGTTTCCTCTTCGCTAAAGTTGTCAACTCCTTTGGCCCATTTGAAGTTCACCATAGTAAAAAAAGTATTCACTCTCCCTTTGTTGCTAGACCAAATTTATCAACAAAGCCTAAACGAAGAGATTCCTAAGACTAGTTAATCTGTTCATTCATTCAACAAATATTTACTGAACACCTACAAAGGGCATTTAAACACAAAAATAGAAGGAAGCTCTCTCTTAAATTTGAAATCTCCCGGGTTTCACAAGTAGGTATCTATGTCTATCCTTCCCACAGACTGTGAGTTCCTTCAAGAGAGACTGTGTGTAACAAAAAGAATTTGGGCTTTGCAGCCAGGTGGACTTTTACTGAATCCCAAATCTGCTACTCCTAACTATGATCTTGGAGAAGTTACCTAAATCCAGAGCTCCACACTCCTCTTATCTGTTTAAAAAAAAAAAGGGGTGGGGGGGTAAATAATATCTATATCATTCAGAACTGCTGTGAGGATTTAAGGACCTGACATATGGTAAATGCTCAGTAACTGAATGCATGGATAAAACCATCAATAAAAATGGAACTAACAATGTCACCTTTATTTCATTCAGTTGCTGAGATTTAAGTTGTAGCTGCTCTGAAAATGTAGCAGGGAATGCAAAAAAAAGTTTAGTTAAAACCCATCGATGTGCATACCAAGTAGCAATATCCTGTGTAGAAACGAAGCCAAGAGCCTTCAGGTTAGTATTTTCATCACTACACCACCACTCCCACAGGCTGGTAGGATTCTGGCTGTCAGGCCTGATGAGTACACAATTCCGAATCTGAACAGGCCCAAGAAATCTGCTCTAGCTTTACAAGGCCCTAAAAAGTCAAGCCTAACTTTGACTTTGTCTTTAAGGCCTCAGAAACACTGAGCCAACCTTAACCAAGTGGCTTCAACACTGACAGGAACCCTTCAGTTAGCCTCTCAGCCATTTCCTCACCCCCACAAACAAGTCTCTGAAGGATTATCCAAGTCTAAAGCTGCCCTCCTCAAGTTGGGTCCAAGCTGATGGACACTGAGAATTTCCAAAGGTAGAAATAACTATGACTTTTTCCATTCTCTTCCTTATATTCAAAACAATAATCCTCCTCAGTATTTTCTTTCTTAAAACTACACTAAATTTAAGACCCAAAGTATTGTCTGAAGAAAACCTGATAAAAAGGAAAAATATTTTCACAATATATTCAAGTCTCTTAGCCACTTCCAGAGGCTCTGTTACCTACCAAAAAAATAACCAATTTATCACTATAAAAATGAGTGCAACATTTTTGTCTACCTACATGTAGATGAGAAAAACTACAAACTCAAACATGACTCCAATACTTCAGGATAGAAAGGTCGAATCTAATGATATAATTGTTTCTCACTTCCTAAAACTTCAGATAAAAAATGGTTATTTCTAAATGAACGAAAGAGTGACGTGGAAGGAACCCAAGACCCCAGTCCATGACCAACAACTGCCAAAAGCTGACGGGCTTCACTGCACTGTAGACCCCAAACGAATATTTACTAAACAAATACTAAGGGTGAGGCACCCAGTACAAACCACCTTCCAGGACACACTGGTGAACGGGCCTGACAAGGTCCCTGCCCCGCCCTGCTATTGTCCTCAATGAGGAAAGTACAGAACTGAGAGAGAACTCCAGAAACTTGCGGTTGGCAAAGACAGTGTTTTTAGCTGTTTGCTTCATTACACCTTCTAATGGAGTCATTCCTAAACACTTAATTAAAAACATTATAAACAGTCGCAATTCTAAAAACCACTGCTTCAGAACTTACATTCCAAAAAGAGGAGACAATCAGGTAAATGAAAAATAATTTCAAATAGTAACCACTAGTAAGAAAATGATAGGAAGTGGAATAATTTTTTATATAAATGGGAGTTCTCTGCGAAGGCCTCACTGAAGAATACATTATGCGCAAGTAAACATTAACCCTTGTACTCACTGAACCAAAAGCACAATGAAGTAAAAACCGTAATCTTTAAATATTAGTTCTCATCAATACTATACTTCATGATACTGACCTGTTATTAACCTCCTTGTAAAACCTTCCATAGCCCTTTTCTTAGCAAA